GAGTATTAAAAAAAAAAAAAAAAAAAAATATATATATATATATATATATATATATATTAGTTTTTATTTTTGCATTTTCTGTTTTAAGAAATTGTAATTTAGTAGTAGTTAATATTTATTTATATTGATAATATTAAAATCTAAATATTATTATGTACATTATATAAATATAAATATTTTATATATATTAATTTATATTTACAATGATTATATTTTTATTTGTTTATTTTTTGTGAGATTAGAATATTAATTTTAGTCAATTTTAGAGATACCTTTCAGTATTTAATATAAAAGTATAGTTTAGTGTTATTTTAGTATCACTGAGATACTATTAAAGTTAAAAAAAAATTTAATTAATTTTTATTTTTGTTTTGTCTGTGTTAAGAAATGTATTTTATGTAATTGTAATTTAGTAGTAGTTAATATTTATTTATTATGATAATATTAAAATCTCAATATTATTATATTCATTATATAAATATTGATATTTTATATATATTAGTATATTTTTACAATACATTTTTATTGGTATATTAATTGTTTTTATGAGATTAGAATATTAAATTTAGTCAATTTTAGACATGCCTTTCAGTATTTAATATAAAAGTATAGTTCAGTGTTATTTTAGTATCATTGCGGTACTATTATTATTATTATTATTATTATTATTGTATTTTCTGTTTTAATAAATGTAGTTTTAGTTATGTAATTGTAATTTAGTAGTAGTTCATATTTATTTATATTGATGATATTAAAATCTAAATGTTATTATACACATTATATAAGCATTAATATTTTAATCATATTTTTAATTTTATATACATTTTTATTTGTATATATTTTGTAGGATTAGAAAAGTCAGTTTTAGAGATACCTTTCTGTATTTACTGATGTAGAAGTATAGCTCAGTCAGTGTTGTTTTAGTATAATTGAGATACTATTATAATCTCTGTATTTTTTTTTTGTTTATATTTAACATTTTAGTTAAGTTATTGTGTTTTTCTCATTTATTTTTATTTATTCATTTAAATTTGTATTAATTTATATTTCAGTTTTAGTTTGTTATTTCAAGTACATCAAGGTCAACAAAATGAAAATGTGAAGTTTATTTTTTAATATGTTATTTTATTTCAGTTAGTGTTTCTTTTATTTCAAGTAACATTCAAGAATTTTAATGGATTCTTGCACCCAAACTGTTACAATTTAGCTTTACATGATGACCTACTGATAGCAATAATGATGATAATAAACTCTGCTAATAAATAATTTGAGGTTGTGAATGTTCAAACATGTAACAGTCTATCAAACTAATTCAAAAGAGCAAGAAAATCCTTTTTTCTATGATATCTGCTCATTAATATTCCCAGCGCAGGCTGTGATTCCTGTGAGTGAATGTGTGTGTGTTCTATGAGATGAGAGGGATTGAGTCTAACGCTTCATTCTCTGCAGTAATGCTGTTCTGCTCGTCTGTCTTTGATCTGTGTTTGTGAAGCTGTGGTGTGATCAGAGCGAGTCCTGGCATAACACTCTGAATAACAGCACGTCTCAGGCCGTCGTTAGCGTTTTCTCTCCGCTGTGTGCTAATTGAGCGAGCGGCGTGTGAAGTGTGTGACCGTGTGTGTTTTGTGTGTGTTTCGTCCAGACCACAGAGCATCCCAATCCCGGGAAAAAGTACAGCGCACGGGGATTTCCTCGACACTGCTACTTACCGGACAACGAGAAAGGCCGGAAGGTGAGAATCAAGATCTGACATGAATCACTATATCATGTATTTTTTTTTATTTAAAATGTATTTTTATAAAAAATAAAATAAAATAATTCTTTATTATTTTTATATTATATTATTCATTATTTTTCCACGTTAAGGTGTCCATCCAGTGTTCTTTAAAGAGTACATGAAAATATAAACCTTTAATTAATTAATTATTTTAATTCCAACATCATAGTGAGCTGCTAACCTTAAAGGGATAGTTCACCCAAAAATGTGACGTTTATCTGCTTACCCCCAGGGCATCCATTGGATTTGTCTGTGCATGTTTTTTTTACTCTCATAGATTTTGTTACCATTGCCATGCATTATACGACTGATAGACCGCAACGGTTTGTGTTAAAAATCCTCATTTGTGTTCTACTGAAGAAACAAAGTCACCTACATCTTGGATGCCCTGGGGGTAAGCAGATAAACATCACATTTAAATTTTTGGGTGAACTATCCCTTTAACAGCAGCGTAAGGCATCGTATGTGTACTTTCAACACAAAAATTGAAATGTTGGATGGGTTAAGTTAAATATTGACTATACCAGTGTTATTATAGTAAACTAAAACTATACAAAAAGTTTTTGTTATTCAAAATAAAATAAAAAAATCAGAAAAACTTATTTTATTTCAGTTATTATGTCACCATTTCTAATTTTCATTCAGTTTAACGTGATGCCCTAAAATAACTAAAACTAAAAAATATAGACTTTGAATATAAAACTAAATAATATAGACTCATAAATGACAAAACACAAAAAATTACTAAAACTTTAACAAAAAAATCCGAATAGGAAATATAATATAAAAATATAAAATAAAATAAAAATTTAAATAGTATATAATACAATATAAAATAAAACATATAAAAAATAAAAATACTATAACAGTATGATACTAAAATTACACTATATTTATATTTCATTCAATACTGAAATTGCTAAAAATTGCCTCAAATTTCAAATGACTACTCTTGTATGCAAATAAAATATATATAAATAAACATTTATATAATTGTGTGTATGTATATGTATAAATTAAAAATGTAGAAATAAAAAATATATATATAGAATTTATATAATGAAATGTATATATTAATATTATATATTTATCTCTCTCTCTTAAAATTAATCATACTGTATATTATATAATATATGATTATTCATCACAATCATAATCATGTATTATATAATATTATTCAATATTTGTGTGTGCTGTGAATGCAGGTTCACATTGTTTTTATTGCTCGTTTCAGGTGTTGAAGTTGCTAATCATGGCGTGGGATCGTCGTTTGATCTTCACCATCGGGACGTCCAGCACCACGGGAGAGACGGACACGGTGGTGTGGAACGAGATTCACCACAAGACCGAGTTCGGCTCCAACCTCACGGGCCACGGCTACCCCGACCCCAACTATCTGGACAACGTGATGAGAGAACTGGCCGCCCAGGGCGTCGGAGAGGACAACCTGAAGGACTGAGGCTCGGTCCGCTGCCGGACACACAAACACACACACACACCTCATTCAGAGGAGTTCCTGGAGAGACCTTTGACCTCTCTGGGAACGACGGTCCTCGCTGACCCCGAGTCAGTGCGGGACTGTGTGAGAGATGAGTAGATGTGGATGATGGAGTAATGAAATCAGTCGAAATTACTCTAATATATTCCTCATTCACTGACACAGCTTGCTTTCTCTCTCTCTATCTCTCGCGTGCTCTTTTTGAAGGCTACCCAGAATGCATCTGGGCTCCGACCGGTGCTTGTGGTAGTTGTATATACACACACATTAGTGGTTGACCGATATGGGGTTTTCAATGGCGATGCCTCTTACAGATGGCAGATATAATATGGTATATCTAGGGCTGTCAAGTGATTCAAATTTTTTTGAATTACATGATGTGCAGATTAATCATCAGTTTTGGCTGAGAAATTTACCCCCAAAAGATCATTTAAAGCCCTTATTGTATTAAATGAGAAAAAGCATTGCATAAACATTACAAAAAAAGTAGCTTTAGGAAGAAATATTTTGATTCAGCATTGCATAAATATTGATATTAATTAAATATTGATTGACATTAACATAAATATTGAAATATTAAATGGTTTTTAAAAAATGAAATGATACTCTAGATTTGAGACTAAAGCCTCTAGTAGGTGGTGTCTTAATGTGTGAGTCGTTGAATTATTCATCCAACCGATTTATTCAAACGGCAGATTCATTCAGCGACTTGTCTTAATGAATGAGCCACTGAATCATTGACTCACTTGATTCGTTCAAACGGCTGATTCATTCTGTTACAAAGCTAGTGACTGTCTTAATGAATGAGTCACTGAATCATTGACTCATTTGATTCGTTCAAACAGCTGATTCATTCAGTTACAAAGCAAGTGACTGTCTTTATGAATGAGTTACTGAATCACTGACTCATTTGATTCGTTCAAACAGCCGATTCATTCAGTTACAAAGCTAGTGACTGTCTTAATGAATGAGTCACTGAATCATTGACTCACTTGATTCATTGAAACGGCTGATTCATTCAGTCACAAAGCAAGTGACTGTCTTTATGAATGAGTCACTGAATCATTGACTCACTTGATTCATTGAAACGGCTGATTCATTCAGTCACAAAGCAAGTGACTGTCTTTATGAATGAGTCACTGAATCATTGACTCACTTGATTCGTTCAAACGGCTGATTCATTCAGTCACAAAGCTAGTGACTGTCTTAATGAATGATTTACTGAATCATTGACTAACTTGATTCGTTCAAACGGCTGATTCATTCAGTTACAAAGCTAGTGACTGTCTTAATGAATGAGTCACTGAATCATTGACTCACTTGATTCGTTCAAATGGCTGATTCATTCAGTAACAAACAAGTGACTGTCTTTATGAATGAGTTACTGAATCATTGACTCACTTTATTCATTCAAAAACGTGGATTCATTCAGTAACAAAACACCGCTGTGTTGCTCGCCGTGCTTAATGCAGAAGAGTCTTTATAAATTTAAATAAACCTATTTTACACAATATTGTAAGCTCTGTTAATCTGCCAATTAGTAGCTGATGCTGATGACCACAAAATCATCAAATATCAGATGATTCATCCCATTTCTTGATATATATCGGTCTACCACTGCGCCCAATACAACTTGGAGAAGTTTTTCAAATCTGCTTCATTTTCAGACAGTTTTCCTGATGTTTTCTGCCTTGTTTTTCTGGCCTCCGTATGTATAACTGATTAAAGGAGGAAGCCTGTAGTTGTTGGCGTTTGTAGGGAAATCAGTGTAGATGGGTCCGTAAGCAGATTTTCAGGGCTGTTTTTGATGTTTGTGCAACCGCTGCATAAAATATCTGCACTTCAAAACATTCAGCTCTCCGGCTCGTGTGCTACTTTTGAACTTCAGAGCAATTAGCGGAGCTCAGCGCAAACGCTGAGATTTGAGGATCCTTCTGTGTGCGTTTTAACTTTTAGAATGAATAAGATGAATAGGATGTCTTACTGAAATATGCAATGATTCATATCCTGTCTTGCTTTGTTTCTCTTTAATGTCATTAATCTGAGAGAGTGGCTTTCTGGCTGCAGACGGGTTTATCTGTGTTGTGTTTGGAATGGAATACTAACATACTACTTTTCTAGAATACTGCACAGTATACAGTGTGTACTGTTTTTAAAATGCAGGCGTTATTCCATGATAAATGTTTTAAATAGTTGTCCTTTTGAATTGCATGCAAGTGGCGTCCAGTTATGATGTTGAATAAATACGAGGGTTGCCGATTTTTAATTACATGTTATGCACTAATGTGTGAAATGATCAAATAATGAGTCAAAATAGTAAAAATTGTGGCTGATATTCATTTGTCACACTGGAAATAAAGTTGAGGATATGGCAGTGATTCTCAACCAGAGCCTCAAAATTACTTAAAAGATTTAATATATAATAAAAAAAAATAAGACAAATTTACAAGCATTTAAATGAGCTAAAGCAAAAAAAAATTTAAAAAAAGATATATCTAATTTTGACTAACTAAAGCTAAAACCATAAAAAATGTTACTTGGAATAAAATAAACGTAAACTGAAATAAAATGATTAAAAAAAAAAACTTCTTTTATTTCAGCTAGTTCCCAAAGCGTAATTTCTCATTTTCATTTAGTTTAATTTGAAGTACTAAAATAACTAAAACGAAAACTGAAATAAAAATTACTAAAGCTATACAGACTATCGATCAAAAAACACAAAACACACAAATTTTAAAACTAAAATGAAAAATACAAAAATATATTTTTTTAATTAAAATTTTTGATATAACATAAAAAAACAAAACAAGCATTATATCAGTTAAACTAAATTAACAGTGAGTGTTTCCACAGTCTTTGAAAAGCTGGACATCTTAAACCTGTTTATGCACTTTTATAATGAATATAGATTTTACTAGCAATGCCAAGCTCTAGAATATTTTATCGGGTAGAAATTGTGAGTAAAAATTCTTTAAATATTTAAAAAACAAACAAACAAAAAAATCTTATCCTTAATTCTTAGTCAGTAAATCAGGAAAGACTGGAAAATTAATTGGTTAAAAGGAGCTGGAAGCTTGAAGATCATGTAGCTCCTAAAACTTTAATTATTTACAATTTTCATTATGATCCTTTATTTTCTTTTTTTTTTTTTTACTTACAGAAATGAAGAGTTTAAACAGGAGTTTTAATCAGATTAAAATGCATCTTGAAAATCAAAACTAGGGCGTTACGGTCTTTAAATATTGTTGTGGTCAATGAGGGGCCTTAAGAGTCAAAAAGGTTGAGAAACACTGGCATATTGCATATACAGTATTTCATACAGTGTGCTCCAGTTGCACATTTAGGCAAATGCAGAAGGTCATACACAGAAAATTCACATAGTATAACATACTAGATACTGTAGATATGGTAGTATGTTAAGATTCTATTCTGAACACAGTGTTTGGTGAGGGAGAGTTTCTGAGGCCGTAGCAGATAAATCACAACTCAAACTCCCCTCAAGGTTAAAAGAAACACACACACATTATGCTTTCTTTGCTGATCTCGTTCAGAGTCAGAGACGTTTCCCAGAGGCGAGGGATTCCGCCTCGCGTCCCTCGGGGTCTGTGGACTGTGATTTATTTCTGCAGTGACTCTCATATGTGTTCGCATGTCATTTGGAAGCCAAAGATCGGGACGTCATCATACAGTCTCTGAAGGGCCGTTCACACTGACATCGTTTTACTGCAACAAACCAAGCTTTTCGTTTTCATAACCATTGTTTTTCTCCGTTTATGGATCATTCTGAATCATTTTCTGCATGTAGTATATAAATCACAAATGTTTTTGAAATAAGTCTCTTCTGCTCACCAAGGCTGCAATTATTTGCTCAAAAATTTCAATAAAAACAGTAAAATTGTGAAATATTATAATTAAATTAAATAACAGTTTTTTATGTGAATATATACTAAAATGTAATTTATTCCAGAGATCAAAGCTGAATTTTCAGCATCATTACTCCAGTCTTCAGTGTCACATGATCCATCAGAATTCAAGATTTTTATTTGATTAAAAATACAGTAAAAACTGCAATATTGTGAAAAATTATTACAATTTAAAATAGCTGTTTTCTTTGTGAATATATTGTAAAATGTCATTTATTTCTGTGATCAAAGCATGAAGAAATCATTCTAATATACTGATTTGCTGCTCAAGAAACATTTATGGTTATTATCAATGTTGAAAACAGTTATATTTTTGCAGAGGCCATAATTTTTCAGGCTTCATTGATGAATAGAAAGTTCAAAAGAACAGCATTTATTTGAAACAGAAATCTTTTGTAACATTATAAATGTCTATACTGTCACTTTTGATCAATTTTATGTGTACCTACTGAATAAAAATATGAATGTCTTCCAAAAAACAAAAAAAAACTTGAACAGTTTCATAACATTTTTCCGGTGTCAGTGTGAACAGCTCTTTCAAGTCTCACAGATGATGCTTTTTAATGCTGTGGATGATTGAACAGCCCACAGATCTGCAGTCTTCCTCATCCAGAAACACAGAAACTCTGATTGTGTCTTGAAATGTCTATAAGCATCTTTAGTTATCCTCGTGTCTTGTAATGCTTTGAAAAACTGTATCGAGTACAGTATATAGAAGTCAGCATATATATATATATATATATATATACACACATACATTTAAGAGTGTGATATATCTTTGAAGTGTTTAAATTATTTTTATACTTACACATGACGTACATACAGACGCACACACATACACGTGTACATATTTGATACATGCTTTTCTTGTCAAATCTGACAGTTTGTCAGTATAACGTCAGGGACTGTTACCGTGTTCTGAGCATCTTATATTAGTCGTGCCGTTCAAGCAATGATCGCCGTTGCTGTCGATGATGTCGGTGGGAAGGGTTAACTTGCCCACCCAAATGGGTTGTGCCCCTTTATATATCTGCAGGGAATGTTTCAATCATCATTCATATAAGCACTGCTCCATATGCACTGTCTGATATCACTGAAGATCTCCACATCTCGTCTCATTTCAGACGCAGAGTTGCTTACAAATGCTTCTGCGTTGTTTGAGCCAGTACAAACCTACATTTTGTGTTCAGTTTTAGTGTAACTTTGAGATTGAAAAAAGTTGATTTTCTTTTAAATTTAAATTAAAAGTTTTCGTAATTTTGTGTGTTATTGCCATTTTTGTGTGTTTTTATCATTATTTAAAGTTTTAATTAATTGGACAAGTTCATTTTTGTAACCATTTTTATCAAATTTAACACCATCATTTAAGCTTTTAGCAGTTCACTTCAATCAGTTTTTAGCATAATATTTTTTTTTGGTTTTATTAGATTTTTTTTTTATAGAAAATATTTTTAATAGTTTTAGTTAAAGTAAATAACCCTAAAAATGTGTTTGGTTAATAAACC